CCGTAACTACTAAATCAATTGCTTTGAATTTTTGCAGACGTAAAGTTAGAAGTCCGGATTAAAGAATAGGGTACTTTTTATCCCGGAAAATTTCGATATTCCCGAGGGAAAACAAAAGAATTGGTATAGATGGCGCTGTGTGTATTGGTATATGTCACATAGGCTACTTTTATCCTTTTGTGACGCGAGCGAAGCTGCGGGTAAAAGCTAGTACAATATAAGTGTTGTTTCACGCTGGTTTTCTGTGAGGCCCTACGGCTTTAGCCGGAGTGATACCACTATCACTCCGGTCGAGCCGCCCCATTGGCGCCAAGGCACGACTCCCCCACGTGGCTAAACTAACATTCAATTACACATTTACCTATATCCTACTTTCTGCGTCAAACACTGCAATGAGTAACGATGATAATTTTTAGTTATCTAAATACTGAAATAACCTAAACTATTTATCAGTTAAAATCTTTTAAGATTAGCCCACACGGAATCACAATGACTGGTGTGTTATTATAATGCAGATATCATTAGAATACTATTATTAAATTTTTTAGTTGCTAGTTTCAAAAGTATTGCTAGGCTGGAGAAACTATAATGTTGCCGCTACTTTCTGGTCGCTACCACTGCTACCAGTAACGTTAAAATCCAAAATAATTAGTTTTGACTTAATACTTCAGGTTACTACATACTTGCATATTTCGGCTGCATACTTCAGTAACATTTGTCAGCTTCGTTTGATGGGTTGGGCAAAGAATAGTGCACAGAGTCCAGACTCAGACCCTGTGTTATTCTTTATAACTAATAATAATTTCTTCGTTTTTCTTTATGTATACCGCGCAGAGGTTCAGAACTGTAAGGAAAAATCAACTGTTCGTCTAGTATTTTTTTTTTTTGATAGTACAAGCCAGAATCTACAGTAGATATAACCATGAAAACACCGGAACACTAAAGTTCAGCGGGTCTCAGGGACATGAATAGGTGCCTTGGTTCCCGCAACGGAGTGAATCAGAAGATATTATAAGCTGAGAGAAAAAAACTAAAAACACTTCCCTCGGTGAATTACTGCAGGAGACAGAATGAATTAAGCCTAATGGTATAAAAAGAGACTGTAAAAGTGGGAGAAGCCCAGACGCTAAGCACCATGGAAATTTGACCAAAAACTGACTAACTATTCGTCTAGTATAAGAGCAGGAACGGTGACACATGTTCTACTCGTTATCACGCGGCCAATTATATATCCACATCATCACCCCAGGATCACCACCTGCACCAAGGGCTCTCTCTTTTGGACCATCATAAGCATCGTCTTCATCATCAATATAGGACACAAACGTCCACTGTTAAACACAATCCCTTTTTCCCAATCACTTTCAGATAGGCCGATAGACACTTTTCGATCACACCTCTCGGTTTTGATCATACCTACATAATCCATCTGTTTCCGACTATGATGATACAATCCACTCAAAGCATTTTAGGTCCTATTTCCAAACCTTGGCTATTATTCGGTCAAAACCCTACTCCATCCCGATCATAAACAAAACAAATGTAAAAATATGAAGCAAAAATGGTGTCAAAAATCAATCGGGCGACAATAAATAAAGTGTCGAGATGTCGCGTGACTTTGGCTTAACATTCAGTGTTTCTTTGTACCTAATTGATGTGCGTGAACGGTAATCGTGCAGCAGGTATATCAGAAGACTCATTTTGATCAAAAGCTGGAGTAAAAACTATTAATTTACCGGAGGCCCCAATTGTCGCTCCCATCATCATCATCATTATCATCATCATCAACAGCCGGAAGACGTCCACTGCTGGACAAAGGCGGAGGGGGGGTTGCCATAAACTCCACGCTTGGCAGGCGGCTTGGGGATCGCAGTTAGGTCACCAATGTATTTATGGAATGCTGCATGCCTGTTCCTCGGTGTCAGGTCGCAGTTTTAGGATGTGCCCGGGTCCTCTGACCGCTACCCATCACAATCCCCAAATCTTCAATCCTCAAAGCTCTAACTATAAAGTAACGCCCTCGTACTCCTCTGTTGTAGTGGGTATCCATGGGCAGCGCTGATTGTTTGCCATTAAATGATCTGTCTACTCGTTTGCTGCGAAAAAGAAAGAGCATCAAGATAGGTCATCTAACAGCCGTCAATCGTTTACTTTGCTGGATACAAATCGCTCGTTCAACCCGTTCATTCTAGAAGTCATTTGAAAGGCCTATGTAAAGTATTAGAAGTCTAAGGCTGATATATCGATGAAGATTTCATTCCATGTGTTGCAAGCGTTCATAGACCATGATTTTTTTTAAGGGGGGAAATTATCGAATTACTGCTCCCGCCTGGGTGAGGCGGAAGGGAGTATCAGACTCTTACTGACTAAAAACCACCCCGTTTCTTCTCCTGCACGTCGAGCTGGAGCCCCGGTAACCCGATAGGTACTTTGAAGCTGGCTGATGGATGATGCTTTGAGGCGCGCGCTGAACGCGGCGCGCCGTACGCTCATAGACCACGATAACCACTTACCATCAGGTGGGCCGTAGGCTTTTTTGCCACCGTCGTGGTATAAAAAAATATGGCCACAGAGTGGTAAACAAACAGTACAAAAGTTTATTAAGCTATTTAAGCATGGGATTGCAATAAAATATATCAGAATAAGTGTTTATTAGTAAACATCATTGAACACGTCAGCTATCTGTCATAGATTATTGTGGATATACTTGTGTCATCATAGCTGTTGTTTCACTATAATCGTGAGTAGCATACAAGATTACCCGAATGTCACGCAAATTACCCAAATTAAGTACTTACTCTATGTTACGCTTTTATTTATTTATACGCCTCCTCACAACCCAGCCATCGCGAAGAACACTCCGGGCGTCGGGGATTGCGGGACGATCTCCGGCCACCGTAAGCGCGGGCCTGCGGACGGCGAGCATGGGTGGCTCGCCGCCCGACCAGAAACAGACCCGAGCGTACGGCGCGTCGGCACCACAGATATAGGCCTGATGCCGATTCGGAGCCGCCGAGAACTTATCGGGTTACCGGGGCTCCGGCTACAAGTGCATGAGTAGGAACGGGGTGGTCTTTTGTCAGTAATCACCCAGGCGGGAGCAGTCATTCGATGATATTCACCCCTTAAAAAAATTGGAAACTTGGCAAACTATTAGGTACTGTGTTTAAAACAAATCTCAGTAGTAGCATTGAGTCTAGAAATGTGCCCGGTATATGGCAATAGGCTCACCCCCTATTACATGGGACTCATAGCATAAATAGTGAAAAGTGGGTGTTATATTGTACAGTGGTATAATGTGCACCTCTGCCTACCCCTTTGGGGATAAAAGGCGTGATATTATGTGTGTATGTATGTGTGTGTAAAAAATATATACGAATAGATCTGTAATACATACATTACAGAACGATACAGTTTGCTTACATATAGTCCTAGATTTTTCGAAGTTCCAGTGACTAATTCGTACATTTCACTTCTTCTAAATCGCTTTCCATTTTCTTTCGCTCTTGGCCTTGCTACAAATGTCATGGAACTTCTGTTCTAAAGTGTTTATACCACAGATAAACATAGATATAAGCTAATATGCGCTCTCAGGGTTCAGACAGACGGTCCAGGGCTACGCGCATGCGTGCGAGCTCCCTTCTACTGGACTCACCCTGACATGGTAGGGCGACCATCATACTTGGTACACTAGGACAACGTCCCTATCAACAGGTTGGGTACATACTAATTATGTTAATGAAATTACATATTTCATGAAAAGATTTAATGTAACATTAATGTAGTATTAAATCTTTATAGGTAAAATATATCTTGTAAATTTGCATAAGGCAACTTTATCTTGTTCATCCTATATACACCACGCACCTGTGTGTGTGTGTGTGTGTGTGTGTGTGTGTGTGGTTGTGTATGTATACACATGTTTTTGCAAATAAATTATTTGATTTGATTTAATAATTTAGCAATGGGCTTGCAGGTTTATGTAAACATGAACTGTTTACATACCTACTTGATAATTTCACATTGAGGTGTTTTGTATTTTATAGACAAAATATTATGAATTGGTAGTTTATCTCACTGTATAAGTCAATACAATGTTGTCCTTACATAAATATCTGACAAGTTATAAATAAATACAAGAATGATTGATATTTCGGATGCTATTCAGCAAGTAGTTGGGCTAAGCTATTCTTATTCTACTGTTTTTCTTAGGTTTTTTTAAGGCGTGAAAATCATCGAAGGTCTGCTGGAGTGTCAGACTTTTACAGAGTAAAAACCACCGTTCCTTCTCCTGCACGTCGAGCCGGAGCCCCGATAACCCGTTAGGTTCTCCGCGACTCCGAATCGGCATCGGCCCTGTTGGGCCCCATTTGTGGTGGTCTGATGGCACTTTGAGGCACCCGCGAAACGCGGTTTTTCTTAGGATAAGGGGCAAATGTCGTTCATAGCGATTAGCAACACTATTGGAGCTATAAATGCCAGCCTTAGGAGTAAGGATTGAATCTCCGATAACGTCTGCCATATTGTTAAACAAAACATAAGCGTTGTTTCATGCCAGTGGCACTACGGTCGAGCTCGGTCCCTGGTGCTCTCCTGACTAAGATAGCTGTAGCACGTGAAAGTGTAAGTTTGTGTTATTAAGTAGCATGAACGCAAATAATCTGTTGGAAGTAATTTTAAAAATATTTATTGTTAACATAAAATCTATGCTTATTCTTTTTCTCCTGTGTTGTGGGTGCGTTTACAAACATACAAGTTTACATACACATGTCACCTAAGCCCGGAACAACAATTTGTGGATCACACAAAGAGTTGCTCCGTGCGGGAATCGAACCCGCGACACGTTGCATGGCAGCCAGTTGCCCAGCCACCGCACTAGCCGTGTTGTCAAATCATATTATTTGTTATCACGTTAAATAAACTTAATTACCAATATCAAACAAACACGACACATACAAAAATTTTAAACAGTACTAAATAAATGAATCCCTATATATCCCGCAGCCTCCGGCATCATGGTCACCTTGAGCATCCCACTCCACGCCGTGAGCTCAGTGCTCTGACGCGATCCAAGCAACTCCTACAAGCGGTGACAGAACAAAACATTAAACTTAAACAATAAACATATCTAATAACCAAATCATATCACTAACAAAATTATAACAAAAAGAAAACTATTTTATATCGATTTTTCCATACAAGTGTTTAAAAAATGCGGACTCAGTGACGGGAAACAGTGTAGTGATATCGAAATATACCTCAAAACCATATGTGTCTTCAAAGTGAGTAGATGTTTTAATGTTTTTTCGTAAAGCAGTGGTACGTAGAACATTGATCGTTATTTTTTGTGTAATAAGGTAATTTTTCGAAGCTCATTTTGCAATTAATTATCCTTGCTCTTCTATGATTTCATTATGGAAGATAAAGATAAATGATTGTCTAAATATGTGTATAAAAGTATCAACAGTTGTAGTAAGTACAGAGTGGGCGTATACACGTGTGAGTTGATTCAATAGACATGATGCCCTACTCCGACCGAGTTTTATTCATTAGAATCTTCATTTAGGGCGCCTACAATACGCAGTGCGTTGGCTTGTTGCTATGAATAATCTCACAGGCACTTTATATAGGTTACGGATTTATAATAATAAATGAAAGACGAGAATTAGGACTTCATTGTTTCTATTGAATTAGTTTGTTATTGAGGTCGTATAGTTAGTTTAATTGTATTGTTAAAGTCAATGAATTAAGATTTAAAGCTTGGCTAGAAAACAGTGAACAAAACGAAGCCATTCTTGCACAATAATATCGGTATACATATACGTACAAAACTCTTGAATGGCTGCACAAAATTCTCTTTACTTTGTTCATGTTTTCGAACGATGATTACCGTCATCATCATCGTCAACAGCCTATAGGTAGCCATTGCTGACCAAAAGCCTCTTTTCGCACGGAGAAGGTTTGAGCATTAATCACCACGCTGACACAATACCTTATCTATAAAATCGTGTAAATAATAAAACTTACTCACTCAAGCAAAGTTGGGACTTGAAATAAAACGTATTTTATCGACATTTTCCACAAAATATTATTAGAATGCAACAGATGATCTCCTCCGAGACATCTCACGTCTGCAACCCACGCATTTTGTGGAGCACAAAATATTAAAGTCGTCAACCCGTTCATTGTACGAAAACTCCTTTGACCTTGAGATATTTACCTTTAAAATATATTGTATTTTTATTCAAGCTTAAAATATTGTCAACCGCAATCCTTGTCTTATCTTTGCATCATCATAATTATACTCTCTCAGAGAAATAGTACTTACGAGCCGTATCAATCTATCTATACAAGGTGTAGTTTTGAAGCCGTGTCATTTTTCGGGGACATGTCACAGAAGTCATAAAGGTTCAATGTAAGAAAAAGTTTCGGGCCAATAGTAAAAAATACGGCTATAATAAATCGTTTAAGTTCGACAGTATTTCAAAATAACCGACAACAATGTTTCTTATTGGAGTTTTATGGAATTAGGAATAATGTCAATTACGTGTTTGAGTTTGTGTGTGTTAAGCCGCGTTATAAAGCTAGTTACAAGACGGCGGCGTGTAGTCCGCACTTACGGATTTTCGTAATTTACAGAAAAATTAAAAATATGTATCTACATTTTTTTTATTGATTCGGACTCAGAATCGATTACCTTTAAAATATATTGTATTGACCTAGTTACCTCCTAGAAAATGACGCGGCTTTAAAACAACATCTTGTATAAATAAAAACTAATTTCCGTTCGTTAGTCTCGCTAAAACTCTAAAACGGCTGGACCGATTTTGCTAAATTTTATTCTTGAAATATTAGTGGAAGTCCAGTGAAGGTTTAAAAGGTGAGAAAATAATTTTTTATCATATATCTTTTAATTTATTTATGACCTTAAGTTTTCAGAATCTATAGAAAAGTAGGTACTTAAAAACTGAATGTGGACTCAGTTTGCTAACTCGTTTTAGGCCCGCGGTTTCGGCCGTGTCGTTAAGGTACCAAGCCTCCTACCATGCCCCTACGTATCCTCAAATATATAAATCATACCATAAAAATGCTGCGTCAGAAATACAAACAATTAATATGTTATTGGATTTAGAATATTAACGTATATACATACATAAGCTCACGCCTGTCTCACATGAGGATTGACACAGAGTATGGAAACGTCTTTGCCAGAGTCTATATATCCCGAAGGGTATAGGACACCTGGGTGCTTAGGCCCGAGTAAATAGTTTGCTTATGGGACTATGTGCTCCATTGTAGACCGCACCATCGCTTACCACCAGGCGAGATAGTGGTCTAACATCGGCCCTTCAAATATAAAAAAACGCCAATTTCTATGATTCTTACGTATGTAAGAAATCTTTTGCTTAATATTTGCTTTTGTTAAATAATTATCAGTCTTACGATTAAAGAAATAAGTTCCAAATTGACAAAAATATTGTGTTTCTGATTCTGAGTCTGTTTAAACTAAATCATAGTAAACAAGAAGGGACTGTCATTGGCTCTCAACGATTCCCTAAGAAAAAGTCACATTATTAAAAAACTAAGTTAAACTTCAACACCCGCCTGAAGAGAAGCGGTACTCACAAATGTATCAGTACCATTACATAACGAGTATATCAAGAAAGACTCGAAAGACGCGCATCATGCAGGTTGCGGGTTCAAAACCTACCAACGGCAAGTACCAATGTTATATACAGGGTGACTTGTATCTCGACGTATTCCTCTCGGGAGGTGATAATACAACTAATTTCCAACAAAATTAGCCCTGAGGTCCCTGGTCTGAAAGTGGCAAGTTTCTGAGATATTAAACATTTAATATAACACATTACATAATAACATAAAATAACATCACGCCTTTTATCCCCGAAGGGGTAGGCAGAGGTGCACATTATGCCACTGTACAATGTAACATCCACTTTTCACTATTTATGTTATGAGTTCCATGTAATAGGGGGTGAGTCTATTGCCATATACCGGGCACAATTCCAGACTCCATGCTACTACTGACATTTTTTTTAAAAACCCTGTAATACTTTGCCCGACCTGGGAATCGAACCCGAGACCCCTTGCCCGGCAGTCGCACTTGCGACCACTCGGCCAGTGAGGCAGTCACACAACACATTACATATAACGTATAAAAAAATAGTCTGTAATTTTGTTCTCACAAAACAAACCATTAGTGTTGCAATAATTTGCCCGACAAAATTCAATTAACATTAGTGGATACAGAACAACTTGCAAATGAAGGTTAGTTAATGAAATAGTAGACTAATGTTGAACACACATCAAGCTATGCACAACCAGTATAAACTGACTGTTGAATGTACGGAAAGATTATACAAAGCGAGATCTTAATAAACTTGTTTTGCTTAATTTAATGAGCAGACTGTACGTGGTGTGTGCACCGCTCGCATTCTTAATGTAAGTACAATCAATGAAATGAAATCTCGTTGGCAATCTAAGGGGCATTACATAACACATAACATTATTCCTTTTATCACCGGAGGGCTAGGCAGATGTGCACATTACGACACTTAATGCCACTGTCCAATGTAACACCCACTTTTCACTATTTATATTATGAGTTCCATGTAATAGGGGGTGAACTGTATAGCCATATACCGGGCACAATTCTAGACTCCATGCCATTATTAGTATTTGTTTTAAACACAGTACCTAATAGTTTGCCCGACCCGGGAATCGAACCCAAGACCCCTTGTTCGGCAGTCGCACTTGCGACCACTCGGCCAACGAGGCAGTCAAACTATGGGAATTCAAGAATAACGAGGTTCTGGCATATGTTTTATTTCTTTTATGAAGAAGTTTTTTTAATAGAAAGATTATCTTAACTTATCAGTTCGTTTCATTGTTATTTCTTTCATCATCATCGTCATTATCGGCAGCCTATAAGTGGCCACCGCTGACCAAAGGCCTCTTCTAGAACAGATAAGGTTTGGGCATTAATCACCAAGTTATTTAGTTATTTCTCAAAATTTTAAAATCAAAGCCAGAGCATTTATTAATACTAACACAGGCGCTTTTGAAACATCAACATTGAATTGTTCGTCTATCTGTCTGTAAGTGGCGCTAGGTTTTTAAGTTATTATAAGTACGGATTCAGAAATTAAATAAGTAGGGTATTTATCTTGCTTCCAATCTAAATATTAAAACATAAATGAATAAATTGAACGATAAATCAAATGGTATACCGTTTCCACGAAACCATTTGAAAAAAGAACCCGCGGGAATTTCACGGGGACGGGAAAAATTAAAATTCACGGAATCGCAGCTGGGCGCAACACTACCAACCTACCTAGACATAGTATCCAAGATAAATAATTGAAAATGCTGTATTGATTGGTTGGTGGCCCATTTTCAAGCTATTTCGTTGTATATTTTAAGATTAACCCAATTTCTCGTGTCTACGAACGTGCTACGATTTTGCTACGAGACCTTTATGCGCTACGAATTTCGTAGCGGGAAAATAAATGCTTATTAAAGCTTCAATATAAACATATATATAGACATAATTTCACGACTTTCAATCTCTGAAGTAGTCGTAGATGTACATAAATGCTATAGTGTATATGTAAAGAAAATAGGTTTCTTTAATTTTCAATTTTGAGTGGTTCACGCGATTAATTACAAATTATCAAAATTGGTTTATTAAGAAGTACGGACAAAGAGTATAATAAGTATGGGGATATGGAATTGTCTAAAAAGTAATCTTTCACTGAGATATGTTTTGTGAGGGAAACGATTAGGATATGTGGAAAAATAAACTTTGAATATCGTTTCTTTGTTTTCATGTGAGGTTCTTTACAATAGTTTACTAATTAAAAGGTATTCTTTATAATCCATTAATAAAATAAATCTTTGTTCTCAAAAGCAACACATTCGTTTGATTCAATACTAAACCGTAAGATTTCGCCTTATACTATACAATACTAACTTAGGTACAATGTAGGTATATGAGTAAACCACTTTTTACCTACTTTCATGTTAAGAATCCCATGTAATAGCAAGGAGGTGTATCTATTGCCATATACGGACTACAATAGGGATGATGACGGGGTATGAAAATTAAAAATCTAATTAGTCCATCAGTTAGGTAATGAAAAAGTATTAGACACGTATATTTTTATTTTGTCGTATAATAAAACAATTCTTAGATAAAACGAATCAAAGTTTAGGAGTGAGGGCTAAAACGTCATTTCTACGTATAAAATGTACATATGAA